CAAGTGGGGGGGCAGCGCGGGCTGCGGCGGGGCGCGGCGGGGGGAAGTGCAGGGGGGCGGGGCAGGCAGCACCGGCCGGCTCCGCGTCGCCGCCGCCGCCGCCGGTTCCCAGGGGAGGAGACCCGGTGGAGGAAGGAGAGGAAATCAGTTGCCGAGCCGCGTTCCGACGGACAGGACGTGTGTATCGTGTGAGCGACGTTTGTGCGCGCGAGTGACTGTGCGAGAGTGAGGACGAGGATTTTGGAGCGAGTGACCGCCGCGGTCCGCGAGCGATGGCGTGAGTGATCAGTGCAGTGCAACAAGTCCACCCACCGCCGTGCAACAGGCGACAGCAGCAGTGCTACGCAGTGCGCTTTGGATTACGTCCCGCTCGTCTGCCCACAACATGCTGATGGCTTCGTTGAGGGACCCGTACGCAGCGGCGGCCGCAGCGGGCGTGGGCATGCTGGCCGCCAGTCAGCTGGCGCAGCTGAACCAGCTCATGATGCAGCAGCAGCAGCACGCCCACCAGCTGCAGCTGCAGCACCAGCACCAGCCCCACAGCACGTCGCCGTCGGGCACCCCGCTGCCCCTGGGCGGCCCGCCCCTCGGCCCGCCCCTTGGCCAGCCCCTTGGTCAACCCCTTGGTCAACCCCTTGGTCAACCCCTCGGCCAGCCCCTCGGCTCGCCCCCAGAGTGCCAGTCGCCGCCCATCTCTAGGACGTACACGTACAAGAAGGTGAGCACGGGGACACGCTCATCTTTGGGCACTAGTTGTAGCACTCCATGGTGCGGGCGACGACGCGCACGCAGGAGTTCCCGCTCGAAGCTCGAGGGGTGATACGTACGTGGTGATCGTGGATTGAGGGGGGGGGGGAGTCGCCGACCGCCTGAGGGTTCCCGTTCCCGTCCGTGACTCTTGAACCCTTGGTCGATTTACCGCGGCCATACGCCGGCCGATGGCCAGGCGTGGTTTTAGGGGAGGAGGAGTAGTAGTGGGGGGGGGGGGGGTCGGCTGGCAGGAACAGGGGCAGTTACCACCCCTGTCTGTCAACCCCAAGCAGCCGCCTGAAAGGTGGACAATTCGTCGTACGGAACCCCTCTACGTGGACTACAGTCGCCCCCTTGTCATCTCCGGACCCGAAGTCGCGCCTGTGCCGATGCGATGGCGCGCCGCGCGCCCTACCCCTCTGTGGGTCGAATGTCCTCGGCCACCGCGACGGCCGGGACGCCGTGCGCTCTGTGCGCGATCTACCCTGTGTGCGCCGGTCCTGTTCGGTGTCAAAAGGCCCTTTTTCACCGCAACATTTCTCTGCCGTTCGCAGGTGACAAAACCGCTCCTGGAGCGCAAGCGTCGTGCCCGCATCAACCGCTGCCTGGACGAGCTCAAGGAGCTGATGGTGGGAGCGTTGGAGGCCGAGGGCGAGAACGTGAGCAAGTTGGAGAAGGCTGATATCTTGGAGCTGACGGTGCGCCACCTGCAGAGGATCACTAGGCCCCGGGACGTTGCTGAGGATGCGAGCCGATTTCAGGTGAGGCTTTAGACGTTTTCTCATCGTGTCAACATTGTTTTGCGGCGCTTGCTAGAAGCTCTTCCCCCTGCGAGTCTGTGTACTGATCATCCTTTCTCTGCGACAGGCGGGCTTCAGTCAGTGCGCGAGTGAGGCGTGCCACTTTCTGCTGGGACTCCCCGGCCTGGACGCCGCGGTGGGGCGTCGCCTCGTCGCGCACCTCGGCCAGGTCGTGAACCAGGTGGGGCTTGGCGCGCTGGGCCAGGGCGCCGCCCCAGGAATGGCGCCGCGTCCCGCCTCCACCACCTCCACCACGACGACGTACTCGCCCCCCGCGTCACCGGACCAGCATCAAGGCCATCCTGACGCTGACGTGCTGCAGCACATGGCGCGCCAGCAGCACCTGCAGCAGGGCCCCGCCCCCGGAGACGCTGACGGAGAGGTGTCGTCGTCCACCTCGCGGGGCGGCACCAAGAGGTCCCGGTCTCGTCATGGCCGATCCGACATGGACGACGACAGCGAGGATGACGACGACGACCACGACTCGGACGCGCCTGTCAACTACACCTCGGAAGCGTTGCACAGGCAACAGATGAAACGGCCTCGCTTTGACTTCCCCATGGGCGCCTCCGCATCGGGGGCGGGCACTGCGGCCTGCGCCCAGGTGTGGGTCAGCTCCAGCAAGGAGAGCCAAGGCAGCCAGAGCGGGAGCGAGGACGAGGATAAGGGCCCAATGTGGAGGCCGTGGTAGCGAGAGGTCATTGGCTAATGCCTAATTCACGGTCGAATTTCTTATGCTATACTGTGCTGTTTAGAATCTTTATGCTATATAGCTAAAGTTTTGTGTCGGTTGTTTTTTTTCTTGTGTTTTTTTTTTTTTTTTAATTTGTTTAAGTCAGTTTGAAGTCTTAAGCTTAAAGTTTTTCACAATATATAGAGACAGAAATTCGATACTAAACTCGGAATAAGATCGTGCGGAGGAATGTGATCTCAGAAAGTGGGGCATAATGGTGCAAACTTTTACGAGTGTTGCTGCTTATATGGACATCTGGGAGAAATGTTTACATTAGAAAAAATGTGTTGAAATTGTGTTATTCAAATCCTGCCAAGTGATCAAAAGGTCGTGTTTAAGAGTTACATTCATTCACTTTGGCTTTGTTACTTATGTATAGCAGTTGGAAATCAAAATCTTATGTTTATTTCTTTTCTTTACATGAAGGGTTTATGTTTTGTTACTTTTTATAATATTTAACAGATTTGTTCCATTAGCTGTTCTCTGACCAAAATTGCTTATCTGTGATAAAATGAAAGCTTTATGTATTTTGGGTAAGTTTGTGTGTGAGAAAAACCTTTACCTTTCACTCTTAATAATTATCATTTGTTTATATTTCTAAAATGTATTAAGTGATGTAGGTCTTTAATGGCATAAGTTTTTGTTTCAAATGTGAAAACATATCAATTAATTAATTAATTGGTTGAGAGTTTTCTGAAGTAATTCAATTAGTAGGTTGTGTTATTGCCCACTATTTGTACAAATAAAAGCCTGATTACTCTTTCTAATTGTGTTTCAAATTTGACCTCTGATCTTTCAAAGGTATAAGAGACTGGGTATCATTATTTGTGCCTTTACGCAAAATTACTGAAGAGATCCAAGATTTTGTCACGAAGCAGGGTCAAAATATAGGCTGGGGCAGTTTCGCACTAAAAAAGGATAGCCTCACAGAGGTTTTTTTTTTTTTTTTTTTTTTTTTTTTTTTCGTAATTTGCTTGGGGAGCTTAGGAATACAGCGTTGAAAGTCTTACCCCAGTGAGGAATAGAAGCGTGCGTATATTCAACGTTGAATTGACGTCAGAATATTGAAAAAACGTGGATAAGACGAATCGACGTCGAAGAAAATGGTCCCGGCATTTGGGCCCGGGTGGGCCGCCGCCTTCACACAGCTGTTTGGCGGGTTGGCCTACCGAGCACCTGGTAGGCGCTATCCTTATCGTGGTTCTGTGACAACCTAAATGGAAAAGTAGGATAAAAATTATGACAGTTACCAAAGTGCAAGTAAAACTGGCAAAAATGTCACAAACATTTTGAGCTATAAATATATATATTTATAAAGTATTACGCTATTCATATATTTAAAGGTATCCCTTTTCTTCCGCCAAGAAAACAACTGACTGCGCGACCTTGAAGAATTCTGGTTCCGCCAGTGTTTGCTTCCGGTTGCATTCGTGCCGAGTGGCGGCAAACAGCTGTCCGGCCGTCTTCTGTTCAGTTCTGCCCTCTGATTTTTTGCTCTGCACTCGACGAGTGTTTGTGTCATCGGACTTGTTTGCCAGTCAAAGCCACTCGCACACCCACTCTACACTTTGGTCGACGTGCCCGTCCGTGACCCTGTCGCCCGCTACAACCCCTTCGATTTTGACTTTCCTTCAAAATGTCTGACAAGAAAGTGGTACCTAAATATGTGCCGTTTGTCGTCGGCGGTTCTGCGGGGTAAGTACTCATTCCCTCATTATTAGCTATTGATTATTGAATGTGTCGATAAATTTCATGTGTGCTACCGGCGTCAGGTCCAAAGGGGCAGGTCAGGTATTCGGCCTACTTCCATCTTGTCCCTCATAAAATGCCCTTCTAGCCCTGTTCTGCCTCAGAAGAATGCCGTGTCATACACCCATTTCTAGCTGATTTCATTAGATTGTTAAACATTTTATGATGTGACAGTCAGCACATAAATTTTTCTCATAAACTTAGCTTTACTCACAATGAAAGCTCATTTCAAAATATTCCTTCACATTTGGGGGTGTCAATTTGCAACAGAACGGTATGTTTCACTTTGCGATTTAATCATCTTTTAATTTATTTTTTTAAGGATGATGGCTACCTGTTTTGTCCACCCTATGGATGTTGTGAAAAATCGCATGCAAGTCAGTGGTATTGGCAGCAAAGTAAAGGAATACAAAACAAGCTTCCATGCTGCTGGTGGTATCCTTAGAAATGAGGGCGTAACTGCACTCTACTCTGGCCTGTCTGCTGGATTGCTTAGACAAGCCACTTACACTACTGCAAGACTTGGAGTTTTCAATGGGTTGACTGAAAGAGTTTCGTAAGTAACCCACTTGATACTTGATGCGATGTCTTATTCTAAGTTTTTCTTATTGTTTTCTAAATTCCATAGGAAAGATGGAGCACCTCCTAGCTTTGGAGTGAAGGTTTTAATTGGACTCTGTGCTGGAGCTGTTGGTGCATTTGTTGGAACTCCCGCTGATCTGACTCTAATTCGTATGACAACTGATGGAAGGTTACCCCCTGCTGAGCGCCGTAATTACAGTAATGCTCTTACAGCGCTTGCTCGTATTGCCAAAGAAGAAGGAATTTTAGCTTTATGGAAAGGCGCTGTACCTACAATGGGTCGAGCGATGGTTGTGAATGCTGTTCAGCTCTCTACTTACCAGCAAGCTAAGCAACAGTTACTTACCTCAGGTACAGCTTCTAATTTTTGGACAGTGCCCCTAAACTGTCTTCTGTGCTCTTTTTCTCCATTTGTTAATGTTGTCACATTTTATCCTCTGTAGGTTACTTTGAAGAAAACATCAAACTTCACTTCTGTGCTAGCATGATTTCTGGTCTTGCAACCACCATTGCTTCTATGCCACTTGATATTGCCAAAACAAGGTGAGTGCTGTATTTGATTTATAATCAACAAATTTATCATGGTCCTTAAAGCTTAAGAGATAACAGAAAAATTTTCTTTCCCTCGTTTGATTTTCAGAATTCAGAATATGAAAGTAGTTGAAGGTAAACCGCAGTTCACTGGAACTATTGATGTTCTCTCGAAAGTTGTCCGTCATGAAGGAGTTTTTGCTCTATGGAAGGGTTTCACCCCTTACTATGCTCGTCTTGGGCCCCATACTGTACTCACTTTCATTTTTATGGAACAGCTCAACCAATTGTACAAGAGTTTGGCTTAAAATCATAAATTATGCAATTTTCTGCCAATTCACATCTAAATTCTGGCATTTTGGTTGTTCTACATTCAACTAGATTTTATTTTTTTAAGCTGTAGGCAATTCATTGTTGTTGTTTTTTTTGTTTTTTTTACTGTTTTACAATCACAGGCCTGTATATTTTTTCTATTTTTATGTTTTTAAATGAAACATTCCTTTGTGTAATCCTCAGGTATTATGAAACAATGATGTTTTTAACAGCCTTGCTCGCCATACCAGCTGGGCATGTCAATTGCTGTTCATGGGTTTTTAAGTTTTCTCAATTGCATGCAATATCTGCCCTAGTTTTGCACAGCAAGAGACTAATAGAAGAACTCAACTTTTTGAACAAAATTCAACTAAAGTTGGCCTAGTCACGCATTTTTTCTTTTTTTACCAGATTTTAGGATTGAACTTTGTGGAAGGTTTCCTGGCTATCATTGTAGTCATTTAGACTTGAGTTACCATGATTATGTAAGTAAATTACATGGTCTTGCCATTTTTGGAGCTATTTTCTTGTCAGACATTGTAGTTTAATAATGTGGGCCGTGGTTATGGATGATTATTAAGTAAAGGTGCCGAATTTTAACCTCTGTGTTTTAGTGAAGACAATAAGTAGATCATAAGTGTTCTTTGTAATTTAGCTGTGTGTACTCACTACAGTATTTATTAGGTGAAATAGTTCTTTTGAACAATTTGCGCAACATTTACAGCATTTTATCTTCATGCTATGAAGTCTTGACATCCTGTGCAAACATCATTGAGGTGAATTTTACATTGTAAATAGCATTTATAGGTACTGATTATCGTATCTGTTGTTAAAATTATCAAGATTATTTTTTTTGTTAAATATACTCAAAAGGAATCTCTAGATTTGTGTTCAGCGTTTAAACCAGATACTACCCGAGTTAAAATTTCAAAAGTACTTCAACGATATTTTTAAAATTCTTTTTAGATTTGAATTGAAAGGCTTATCATGGTAGTGAATACATATTTTTACTATGGCACACAAGTCAAACCACAAAATGTGTCAAATAGCAATTTTGACTTGAATGGAGGTTTTATGTTTGTCACTGGTATTGGTCATCTCTACAAAGACATCAAGCTAGTATATTAAAGACTAATTGAATCAAGATATTGTGATACACCATAAACACTAATTTACAGCATCAAACAAAATGAAAATTATAGCAATTGCTTGCTCCTATAGAGCAAACAGCTTTTTGTAATTTTATCCATTGAATGATCTTTGCATAATGTAGCTACAGCCGCTTAGACAAAAAGGAATGCCTTTAATATGTGTGACTAGTACAAAACAAATCAGCACAGAAATTTGCAACATGGCATTGTTGGACGGCACTGCTTGATACCCAATAAGGTTTCATGAAACACTATAAACAAAGTATTTATTAATGCTTTTACACTTAAAAATACCAGACTAAAGGAACAGAAGGAACACTTAAAAAATGCACTTCTGGACCCCATTAAATCTACTAAAAGCAATGACAAAATCAATCAAAAGGAGAGTTTTAACAATGTAATCATTGGAATAACAGGTAAATTGAAAGCAAAATTACCATACAAAAGGAATTATAGTTGTTCACAATGATAAATGTGATTTTTTAAACTTTCTTTTACTGTGCCACATGGTTTTGGTACCACAGGAAAAATGATTGAGCTGACAGGAACCCTAAGCAGAACATCAAATAAGGACAAACTAATATCACAAATTCTGTTATTGGCACGGTTACAATATTTGTTTTTAAAAGTATATGTATATGTTGATTAAGTACAATTGTAAGGGTTGTAACTTACAGACATCCTTACGAAAAGGGCAGTTTGTATTGGAAATTAAAGGACAAAACACTTCTTGCGCTCAAGTTGTTCACATAACAACACATCCAAATATATTTTCTTAGCAGCTTAAACAAATTGTTGTCCTCATCACCAATAATGGTGAAATGCTTACTCTTATAGCACCATATTAAAACACTACCTACACTACAGCACACTCAACTTTAATTTAAAACAATCCAAAATTTTCATAAGAAAAGGTGAATTTAGTCTGATGAGGCCTGAGCTGCTCCGAGAAGCTCTTCAGTTGCTGAAAGAGAGAGCTAGGTGCTTCAGCTTCGGCTTCATCAAACTAAATGCACTTTAAGTGGAATGTCTATGATTTGTTTGTTTTTATTTCCCCCCACCAATGGCAGTATACAAATCATATCACAGCCTCCAATTTAAATATAGCAGAAAGGTAAAAACATATTACCTTTCCATAACAAGCACAATTCTTTATCTAAAGCTGACCCTTTGTGAAATGTTAACAGGAGAACATAATCCATGCTCTTTCAGTACATTGTGCATTTGTAATTACCTAAATCTATAAACACATAAATAACACATCTCTCTTTGGTTGTTTTTGTAGATTTTTGAAAAAGTTTAAATATATGTCATGTGGCACTCGTAATTAAATTGAACAATCTAAGGATGATTAGTGCAGGCGTCTTTGTAATTAGATGCATTGAATGGGACAAAGTAATCATCATGTAAAAAGCGAACTATTGACTCAATAGGACATAGATATGAAGAGTTATTTTTGCGGTGAGAGGAAGATGAAATATTATAGGCAGGATCAGCATCTTCACCATGCGACCCGTGGTGAAAATGAGGATTGACAACAGTAGAACCACCATGACGGCAACAAACAACGTGGTTGGTAAGGTCTCTCCCATTAAATACAAGTCTAAAGAAGTAATCTTTGGCAGCTGGGCCATCATCATGCTGGGAAGATCCCACTGGGTCACCAGTTGATGTTTTCTCTGCATTGCGGCTGCGGTAAACCTATGAAAGGCATTCCCATTATGATATAGACATCACAAAACCTGCAATCAAATCTAAAAAAATCATACATACCTCCAGAACAAGTCTTGAAGCATAATGTGGGGCTGCTGTTTCCGCAATGACACCAAGTGCTCCTGACAGGTACTGCAATGTTTTGTCATGTCCAGAATAGATAACAATTCGAGGCTTTCCTTCAGACACCATTTTCAATAGATAGCCAACAACACTTCTGAGCAAACCATAAGCTCGAAGGAGACATGACCGTTTCAGACTTTGACTTTTAACATATAAACGTTCCTCCCATTCAGTGTAGGCAAATAGACTGGTAACCTGTTCTGGACGAACACACACCTCCTAAAATGAAGAAAATTTTTATGAGCACGTGTTGGAGAACCTACAAATGAATCAAGCAACAAAGATGCAAAATAACTTACTTTGTTTAAAAGTCCAATATCAATACATGGCAGTGGTGCACCATGACAGACATAGGCAAGAAGAGCATCCCTCAGAGCATGAGGATCAGATAACAGTGTTTTATCAGGCGATTCATATACAATTGATGCTGCAGAGCGAACCAATTTCATAACAGCTGGATGTGATCTAAAATGGTCTGCAGCCTCTACACTAACTTGATGTCGGTACTTTTCTGCTGCAGGGCATGCACAATCATTGAAACAAAAAGCCAAACTTTGACTTGGTCGAAGAGTCACCTAGAAATAAAAGCCCTTATTATACTGTTTTTAATAAATTTGTAAATAAATGGCCAGTTTTTATTATTGTTTCTACCTTGTGTAAGTCTTCAAGGGAGAGGAAACTGTAAAGGAAGGCAAGAGCACTCTGGAAGGTTCGCCTGTAATGAGTACTATAGACAACTACATCTTCTGCAGTTAAGGAACCTTTACCAATGCCTAATTTGTCGGCATATGCAGTTTTCAGAATGTGTCCAGTTCTGTAAAAATAGTTTTGTTACCAGATTTTTTTTATAGTTACATCCATGTTTGTCTTTTTAAAAAATAGAATTTTATGACAAATAATTCTACAAGTCTTTTGATATTTTTTCCTTAAAATTGAGTTTTGAATTCTATAGTTGGGTGAATACCTTAAAAGTTGAGTGACTCCAACTGGTGTAAGCTGTCCCAAACTGCATTCTCCGCTACTAGGAGGTACTAACGGAAAAGCATGAAATGGACCAAGAAGCTGCCACAGGAAATTGTTGCTGAGCTTGTCACTCCCACCTCCACCTACACCAAGCCCAGCAGCCAGTGATGCATTTTGAAGGAAGGCCTCATAAGCAGCATAACCAGCATCCCAGTCACCGTTTGTGATATCAGGGCTTAGCAGGTCACCAGCACAGTTGACACTGCTTATATTACGCACGTGCATAAGTGGTCCACGATCTCCATGCCGTAGAAATACTACAGCACCCACAAGTGTGTAGTTATCATCCACCTGGCCTTGAACAGAAGAAAGTCTGGAGTGAAGCTGCGCTTGGAATTTTACAAGGCTGGAACTACAATGGAGAGGTAAAATAATAAGTGGTGTGATACCTTCACTGCCGAGATTGATATCCTCTGGAGGATTGCAAAGACGATATATTCGCCGACCTTTAATTTCAGGTTTGAGATCTTTTGGGAAACCTCTGACAAAGATATCATTTGATGAGTGCTTATATCCTTGGGCAGCATCTTCTGTTCCAATATATTTATACATTCCTATAAAAATATTCAAGTTAGTGTAGCGCTTTCACTTTAAGTTAAGAAACAGCAGAAAAGTAAAAGAACACACCTCCAACCATGAGAAAAATCCAGACACTAAGTATTAGGTAGCAGTATAAAACACGGTGCTGTGATAACAACTTCATCATAAAACCGGGAAGCATCTTGGATCACCTGTGAATTAAAAAATCATTCACATTTTATAAAATATTCATGAATAAGGGTGTCAGTTCAGAAATATGGAAAGAGGTCAGAGGATATTGGTAGGAAATCAACACACAGCCAAAACAGACATCTACCTACCAGTAATTTGACCAAATTCTGCAAAACGAAATAAGCCAGGAGACCAGCACAACTGATATGATTAGAGTATATTTTTGATGGGCAGAAGACAGGTAAATGTCTTCATTTTACACCGTCTGAAGCAGGCCCTTTCCCCAGAAATCTGACAGGAACTCGTCACACCTTACGTTAAGGTGATAGCACTCTCCTGCCAGAATTCCGTGATGGTGATTACACCTTCATTCATGTTGTTGTCAAAATTTTACCCCCAAGGTAGCGTAGCAGACAATTTATTTTCTGTCTGCCAAATTCAGTTTTCTGCTATGACTTCTTTCCATGTTACTCTTTAGATGTTGGCTGTAAGTGTGGATCAGTTATACAGCCAGCAGCCAGCGGTCTCGGAAATCAAAACATTTGAAAGTTATTGGAGGCATCAACTTAAGAATATGTACCTTAAAATAAGTTTTATCTTGCACACTCCCTGTTCAAAAGAGTACAGCGGTTGTCCAAAGTCTTATGATTTAGAATTATGAAGTACATCAGGGGGACCGTGATTGGCGGCACAACTGGCGGGAGGTCGCGAGTGGAGTGATGCGCCTGCGCAGTGAACCTTGTTGCACTCTTCAACTCGCAAGTAGCGAGGCCGTCGTTGTTCAGTAGCTCAAGACGCTTGTTGTGTAGGCCTATCACCCGTTTTAGGGTGAATTTTCGTCTTTAACTGTTCAAGAAGGCTTACCAGTGGCGTCCTCACGCAAAATGACGGATAAGGACGGAGGTAACTACAAATCATTTCGTCTTTACAGATACTTTTGTTATGACGCTCCAGCTTGATGCCGGCAAGGTGGGGGTGCTAGGATTTTAGCGCGCATTTTCTTAGAAATAACATTGAATCTTTTTTTCCTCAAAAGAATTTCTTCTTTAAATTTATTGGTTTTCTGCAATGTTCACTGTTAAGATTTGAGGTCGTACCATTAAGATTTTACCAGCTCTTTGCGAACCTTATTATGCCGGACGTCTTGACAGACGGTACTTCCGTCGGTAGTAACTCTTTGCTGTTTCATTCCTACTTCTGTATGTATATCCAAGTTTTTGTGCGCTGCAATAGCTCAATTTTCAAATGGATAACTCAATAGTTTACAATCTACTATCCTTTGACACCTTAGTTGCCTAACCTCACTAAATTGTAGTTTTGCTCAGTGTTTTGTCTTCAAATAAATTTCATATTTGTGTTATTGTGGTGGTGCTCTTTGTCAACTATTACCACCGATTTTTATTTATTTTATTCCTTAATATTTCTCGTTGAATGGTATTAGGCTGAATTGTCAAACAAGATAATTGTATGGCCCAAAGTACAGCTATTTTTCTCTCATAGCGGGATGTATTACATTTTGGGTCATTCAATATTGTTCTATATCCTGTCATTTGAACAACAATTCATTGGTATGCAATTTTCTTTCAAACTTATTTTCAGAGGCGTTCGACGATGCAGTCGAAGAAAGAGTTATTAATGAAGAATATAAAATATGGAAGAAAAATACTCCATTTCTTTATGATCTTGTTATGACACATGCATTGGAGTGGCCATCATTAACAGCACAGTGGCTACCTGACGTAACTAGACCAGAAGGCAAAGATTACTCGGTGCACAGATTGATTTTGGGAACGCACACGTCAGATGAACAGAACCACCTCCTTATTGCCAGTGTTCAACTGCCCAATGAAGATGCTCAGTTTGATGCGTCTCATTATGACAATGAGAAAGGAGGTAAGCAGTTTTGTTGACAACATATTACTTATCCTGCTATTATTTTTCTCTCTCTACTTACTAATTTTTTAATTTTTTTTCAGAGTTTGGCGGTTTTGGATCAATAAGTGGTAAAATTGAAATCGAAATTAAAATTAACCACGAAGGCGAAGTCAATAGAGCTCGCTACATGCCTCAAAACCCTTGTGTCATTGCTACTAAAACACCATCAAGTGATGTTCTTGTGTTTGACTACACTAAACATCCCTCAAAACCAGACCCTAATGGCGAGTGCCACCCTGATCTCAGGTAATTTTATCTCTTAATCACCTCTCCATAAATTATTTTTTTCACCTACTAAGTTAACCCTTTTCTCAAAAAGACTAAGAGGACACCAGAAAGAAGGCTATGGTCTCTCATGGAATCCTAATCTCAATGGCTACCTACTATCAGCCTCTGATGACCACACCATTTGCCTGTGGGATATCAATGCCACTCCAAAAGAAAATCGCATTATTGATGCTAAAACTATTTTTACGGGACATACTGCTGTTGTTGAGGTAGGCAAATGTGTTTATATGGATTAATGTACTGTATCCTGACGAAATCAATTTAACTGTTGGAGTATTTCAGGATGTTGCATGGCACCTTCTTCACGAGTCTCTATTTGGTTCAGTGGCGGATGATCAAAAACTCATGATCTGGGATACACGTTCTAATAACACCAGTAAGCCGTCTCATACTGTTGACGCTCACACTGCTGAAGTTAACTGCCTCTCTTTTAATCCATACTCAGAATTTATTCTGGCTACTGGAAGTGCAGACAAGGTTTGTCAAATTACAACCTATTCTCAAATCAGCATCCTCTGTCTATTTTTTTTTTTCACTAATAGAAATATCTCATTTTTAGACTGTAGCGCTCTGGGATTTGAGAAACTTGAAATTGAAGCTTCACTCATTCGAGTCGCATAAAGATGAAATCTTCCAGGTTGGTACATACATGTTTTCTTAACTAAATATCTATTTACTTGTCCTATTAACTTTCTTTCATTCTATAGGTTCAATGGTCTCCTCATAATGAGACGATTCTGGCGTCCAGTGGCACAGATCGAAGACTGCATGTTTGGGATCTCAGCAAGATTGGGGAAGAACAATCCAGTGAAGATGCGGAAGATGGACCTCCGGAATTACTGGTTAGTTTATTCAGTATCTTTCTGAAGAGCAAATTTTGATTGTTGCTAAGGAACTTCCAGCATATTTCGTGTCCTGACTCTTGCAATTTTTTATTTTTTTTATAGTTTATCCATGGTGGTCACACAGCCAAGATCTCGGACTTCTCTTGGAATCCCAATGAACCTTGGGTTATTTGCTCTGTTTCTGAGGATAATATCATGCAGGTAAGAGATAATAGAGTGCACAACTTTTAAAGTACTTAAAAAATGTAATTTACTAACTCAATTTTTTTTTTTTTTTGTGTCAGGTCTGGCAAATGGCAGAGAACATTTACAATGATGAAGAACCTGAGACTCCAGCTACTGAACTAGAGGCGGCAGCTTCATGAATCTATTAGATTATTGTGTATCATAATTCATGTTTTACTAGCTTACCTGCTTTTTTGCAATTTACTCCATTGTGATTCATTTATGTACCAACATTCATTAATTAAATAATAGGACTGTACCTGCATCTGAATATTTTTACACACTTGTTCATTATTGAACCTGAGACCTTCTACTCCTCCATATTGTTACAAAAGACAATTTTATATACTGTGACAGCAGGCTAAAGAGCCTTTTCCATTTGGTCCCATATTGTGCCTAAACTTCAAGTTCGCCGCTGCTGACATTCATTTATTGTACTGAGACCAAAACATGAAAACGAAACCACAATTCTGTGAAAGCAACTTGTGAGTCCGCACCTGGCAGTGAATACACATGTTATACAGAAATGTCCTATATTTCAGCGAGTAAACCATTGATAGATTGCCATAATGTCTACCTCAGTTAAAACTTCCAGACAAAAATTTAAGAATGAACAAAGTTGGTTGTTGCCATGTTTATCTGTATGAGGGGTTATCTATGATCTATCAATTTTTAATAGAGAAAATCTAACGTATGCACATTATTTTCATCTTCTATAGGAAGAAATTTTGCTAGTTTCTGGTAGGTGCCTTTCTTTGCTGGCTCAAGCTGACGCGGCGCACCACCATCGGCACACCACCACAACTTCCACTTCGCACCTCGCACCGCTCGCACTCGTGGTGTTTTTAGCGACAGTGCTTCTTCTGTTTTCTGTCTGCATGGTGCAGCAGTGCAGCAGTGCCGACCATATAATGTGCTCGTGGTGATTGAATGATATAGGTGACTCTTAAGTGAAGTCGTGTTCTGAGTGGGTATGTATCGTAAAACATTTTGCTTCGGTATTATTACTTTTTGAAATTTAGTACTTCGTGATAAACCATCCGAACGTGGTTCCTTATTATACCATATGATTTCACTCGAGACCCTAACCTTACTTTCTTTAACTTTGCCGGTGTCACTTTTTAATAATTGTTTTTGTTTCAAAATCAAAACTCTGACCCGTCGTGCATTTAACGCCATTCAAATTTCTCTCACTAGTAATTGGCCATTTTAAACTACTTTTGACTCTCTTTCTTCCCCGATGGATGTTTGTTTATACTTTATTTAACCTGTCACAGTCTGTAAGGATACCTACCAATTTGGGAGGTCTGATTTACTCTCAGTTGATCTAATTTCTACTCCTATTGAATAGTTTCTGTCTGGACTGTCAGATTTATTCTCCCACTTTTGATTTTCACTGTCAACTACTTATTGCTTGATTACACATTTGCTGCATGTCGATTGATTGCATCAGCCTATTAGCCAACTTTATTTCTTGTTGCCAGTATTGTGTCTGTTTGTTTAGCCATGCCATGCCATGCCATGCCATGAGTGCGTTTATGAAATGTGATACAACTTCTGACTATGGCGCATTGTGGACCGGGCTCATTATTGGCATATTTTTATTGGAAAAATACTTAAGGCTGTTTTTTGCTCTTCAACAGGTGCTCAACCATGGCTCAACCAGTTCCAGAGAACATTAACTTTGCCAAGGAGGAAGAGAACATTTTAAATCTATGGAAAAAACTTGATGCCTTTCAAACATGCCTGAAACAATCTAAAGGAAAGGAAAGATTTACCTTCTATGATGGACCACCGTTTGCCACAGGACTTCCTCATTATGGCCACATTCTTGCCGGTACCATCAAGGATATTGTCACCAGATATGCTCATCAAAGTGGATTCCATGTAGAAAGAAGGTTTGGCTGGGATTGCCATGGGTTACCTGTTGAGTTTGAGATTGACAAAACCCTTGGAATCCAGGGCCCAGCTGATGTTGCGAAAATGGGAATTCCAGCTTACAATGCAGAGTGTCGAAAAATAGTCATGCGTTATTCGGAAGAATGGGAAAATGTTATTACCAGGCTGGGTCGCTGGATTGACTTCAAAAATGATTACAAAACACTGTACCCTTGGTTTATGGAATCTGTGTGGTGGGTTTTCAAACAATTGTACAATAAGGGGTTGGTTTATCGAGGTGTGAAAGTGATGCCTTATTCTAATGCTTGTAATACTCCACTGTCAAACTTTGAATGTGGCCAGAACTATAAGGATGTTAATGACCCATCAATAACAGTTGCATTCAAGTTAAGAGATGAACCATTGGAACTTCTAGCATGGACAACAACTCCATGGACCTTACCCAGCAATTTTGCTTTGACAGTAAATCCTGACATGATTTATGTAAAGGTTCAAGAGAAATCTTCAGGTAGAGCCTTTGTGTTAATGGAGAAGAGATTGGAGAGTGTTTTCAAGAGTCAAGATGACTATACTGTTTTGGATAAATTTCCTGGATCAAAACTAAAAGGCAAAAAGTATGTTCCTCTATTCCCCTTCTTTCCTGAAATGGAGAAAAAGGGTGCATTTACGGTGTTTGCAGATGGCTATGTTACCGATGATTCTGGTACAGGAGTAGTTCAATGTGCTCCATTTTTTGGTGAAGATGATTACCGTGTGTGTGTTGATAATGGAATGTTTTCACGTGATGATGACATTCAATGTCCTCTTGATGCTAGCGGTTGCTTCACTGATCCTGTGACACAATTCAAAGGAATGTATATCAAGGATGCCGACAAACTCATCATCAAACATCTGAAAGATGCTGGTCAGCTTTATCAAAATTCAACTATGAAGCATAGTTACCCATTCTGCTGGAGATCTGACACACCTCTTATTTATAGAGTTGTACCTTCATGGTTCATCCGTGTGCAGCATATGAGTGAGACTCTACTTGAGACTAGTAAACAGAGTTATTGGGTTCCTGACTTTGTCAAAGAGAAGCGCTTTGGTAATTGGCTTCGGGATGCTCGAGATTGGGCTGTAAGCAGAAACAGATATTGGGGTACCCCTATTCCACTCTGGGTGTCAGAGGATGGCAAAGAAGTTGTCTGTGTTGGAAGTATTGCTGAACTAGAAAGCCTAACTGGCCAGAAAATTACTGATCTGCATAGGGAGAGTATTGATCATTTAGAAATCCCATCTGCTCGTCCTGGTGGTAAACCCTTGAGACGGATTGCAGAGGTATTTGATTGCTGGTTTGAAAGTGGATCCATGCCCTATGCTCAAGCTCATTATCCATTTGAAAACAGCAAAGAGTTTGAGAAATGTTTCCCTGCTGATTTTATTGCTGAAGGGATTGACCAGACTAGAGGCTGGTTTTATACTCTTCTTGTTATTTCTACTGCTCTCTTTGGTAAACCCCCTTTTAAAAACCTTATAGCAAATGGCCTTGTTTTGGCATCAGATGGTCAAAAGATGTCAAAGAGAAAGAAAAACTACCCTGATCCACTTGAGGTAGTAAATAAGTATGGTGCAGATGCCCTCCGTCTTTACCTGATAAACTCCCCTGTTGTGAGGGCTGAAAGCCTTCGTTTTAAAGAAGATGGAGTGAAAAACATTTTGAAAGATTTATTTTTGCCTTGGTACAATGCCTACCGCTTCCTATCCCAGAATATCATACGTCTCGAACAAGAAGACAACATAGCTTTTTACTTTGATGAAAACACTTGTGTGCAGTCGAGCAATGTCATGGACTCTTGGATTTTATCTTTCTCTCAGTCATTGCTGCTTTTTGTAAAGCAAGAAATGGCAGCATACAGGTTATACACTGTTGTCCCCAAGTTAGTCAAGTTTATAGACAATCTTACTAACTGGTATGTCCGTATGAATAGGAAGAGGCTAAAGGGTGATGGTGGTATTGAGGATTGCCGAAGAGGGCTGGAAACACTATATAGTGTTCTATTTTCAATGGTGCGCATCATGGCTCCGTTTACACCTTTCCTCAGTGAGTTGATGTATCAAAACCTTCGTCATTTGAACAAAACAGATAAAGCTGATAGTGTGCACTACCTCATGTTGCCCACACCAAAACCAAGCTTGATAAAAAAGGATATTGAGTCTGCTGTGTCACACATGCAAACAATCATTGAATTGGGGCGTGTGATTCGAGACCGCCGAACTCTACCCATCAAGTACCCTCTATCAGAAGTCGTTATCATTCATCAAGATGCTTCTTTCCTCAATGAAGTTAAGGAGCTTGAGCACTATGTGTTGGAGGAACTTAATGTGAAATCAATGGTTCTCACTAGTGATAAGTTAAAGTATGGAGTAGCCCTCAGGGCTGAGCCTGATCATAAAACACTTGGAGCCCGCCTCAAGGGTGAATTTAAGGCTGTAACTAAAGAAATCAAAAACTTAACTGATGCTCAGCTTCAAAAGTTCTTATCCGGTGGAAAATTGGAACTGTGTGGTAATGCCATTGAAAAGGATGACATTCGCATTATGTTCAGTTTCACTGGCCCTGCTGCCCAGGAACTCTCAGAACGCTATGAAGCTCACTCTGACAATGATGTTCTTGTTTTGCTTGACATTACTCAAAGTGAGGATATGCTTGAAGAAGGAATAGCTCGTGAGGTCATTAACAGGGTCCAGAAGCTCCGGAAAAAAGCTCAGTTGATGCCATTAGACCCTGTCACAATGTACTACAAAGTATCTGCTGATGGCATTCTTAAGAATGTGTTGAACAGTTATAAGGAATACATAGAAAATGCTGTCAAAGGTCCCATCAGACCACTATCATCAAAGCCTGTGAATGCTGCTGTTATTTCAGAAGAGGCCAGCAAAGTAAAAGATGTAGAACTTGCCCTTGTTGCAGTTAAAGGCTTTTGCGGTGGTTACGCTGGCAGTGCAAATCCTCTCGCAAAGGAGGAACAGAAACAACCAGCATGCAGGTAAAAATAGTTCATTTTCCTGTGTTAA